AGCCACCAGAGTTGCTAGTATGGCAAATCAGGGATTTTTGACACACTTTGAGGGGAGATATAATAATGCACAAAAGAGCAAAGGATAGAAAACTTGGTGGAAGAAATGATGATAGAAAACTACCCTAAACTAGTGAGGGAGAAAGCCACACAACTTCAAGAAGCACAGAGGATTCCAAACAAGACGGACCCAAAGAAACCCACTCCAAGACACATCATAATTAAAATGGCAAATGTTAATGACAGAGAACATTAAGGGCTGCAGGGAGAGAAACAAGCAGTGACCTATAAGAGAAACCCCATAAGGCTGACAGCAGATTTCTCAACCAAAACTCTTCAGTACAGAAGAGAGTGGCATGAAGTTCTCAAAGTAATAAAAAGCAAGAACATGTGACCAAGACTGCTTTATCCAGCAAGGCTATTATTTAAAATTGAAGGTGAAATAAAAAGCTTCCCAGAGGATAAAGGAGTTCAGTACCACCAAATCAGCATTGCAAGAATTGTTAAAAGGACTACTCTAAGAAAAAGAAGAAATATTGAAAAGTATATCAGCATAAAGGGGAAAAAACGTCATTAAATAAGTATATAACAAGAGTAACCTTAAATTTAAATGGAATAACTGGTCCAGTCAGAATAGCTGAACAGATAAGAAAACAGGAGCCAAACATATGCTGTCTACAAGAGACCCACCTGAGAGCAAAAGATTATCACAGACTAAAAGTGAAGGGATGGAATAAAATATTCCATGCAAATAGAAATGAAAAAAAATGTGCTGAAGTAGCAATACTTATTTCTGAAAAAATAGACATCAAAATAAAGAACACAAGAGACAAAGATGGTTACTAATTATACAAAAGGGATCAATCCAACAGGAGGAAATAATCCTTATAAATATATATGCACCCAATATAGGAGCACCTCAATATATATAAAAAGTTCCTTGGTGGACTTTAAAGGGAAGATTGACAGCAACACAATCATAGTGGGAGACTTTAACACCCCACGGTCAGCATTGGACAGATAATCAAGACAAAAAATCAACAGGGAAACGCAGACCTTAAATGAATCACTAGACCTAATGGATTTAATTGACATTTACAGAACATTTCACCCCAAAGCAGCAGAATACACATTCTTCTCAAGTGCACATGGAACATTCTCAAAAATAGACCACATGTTAGTGCACAAGGCAAGTCTCTACAAATATAAGAAGTTTGAAATCAAATCAAGAATCTTGTCCAATCACAATGCTATGAAACCAGAAATCAACCAGTATAAAAAAAACTCAAAAATATTCAAACACATGGAGGCTAAATAGCATGTTATTAAACAATGAATAGGTTACCAAGGAGATCAAGGAAGAAACCAAACACTTCATGGAAAGTAATGAAAATGAACAGAAAATAACCCAAAACCTATGGGACACGGCGAAAGCAGTCTTGAGAGGAAAATTCATATCGTTACAGGCCTATCTCAAGAAACAAGAAAAAGATCTAATGAACCATGTAACACAACAACTAAAAGAACTAGAACGAGAACAGCAAGAAAAGCCCCGAGGAAGTAGAAGGAAGGAAATAATAAAAATCAGAGCAGAGATTAATGACATAGAGACTAAAAAAACAATACAAAAAATCAATGAAACCAAGAGCTGGTTCTTTGAAAAGGTAAATAAGATTGATGCACCTTTAGCCAGACTCACTAAGAAACAAAGAGAGAGGACCCAAATAAATAAAATCAGAAATGAAAGAGGCGATATAACAACTGACCCAACAGAAATACAAAGGATTGTAAGAAAATATTATGAGCAACTATATGCCAACAAATTGGACAACATGGGGGAAATGGACAAATTCCTAGAAGCATACAACCTTCCAAAGCTGAATCAAGAAGAGGCAGAAAACCTGAATAGGCCAATAACAACTAATGAAATTGAAGCAGTAATCAAAAAACTCCCAGCAAACAAAAGTCCTGGACCAGATGGATTTACAGGCGAGTTTTACCAAACATTCAAAGAAGAATTAACACCTATTCTATTCAAACTATTCCAGAAAATTCAAGAGGAGGGAAAACTCCCAAACTCTTTTTATGAGGCCAGCATCATCCTAATCCCAAAACCAGATAAAGATACTACAAAGAAAGAAAATTACAGGCCAATATCCCTGATGAACATAGATGCTAAAATCCTCACTAAAATACTAGCAAACCGGATCCAGCAATACATTAAAAAGATCATACATCATGACCAAGTGGGATTTATTCCAGGGATGCAAGGCTGGTACAACATCCGCAAATCAATAAATGTGATACATCACATAAACACAACGAAGGACAAAAATTCATATGATCATATCAATAGATGCAGAAAAAGCATTTTACAAGATCCAGCACCCATTTCTGATAAAACCTCTCAGCCAAGTGGGAAAAGACGGATCATACCTCAACATAATAAAGGCCATATATGACAGACCTACAGCCAACATCATACTCAATGGGCAAAAACTAAAACCATTTCCATTAAAAACCAGAACAAGACAGGGATGTCCACTTTCCCCACTCTTATTCAACATAGTGCTGGAAGTCCTCGCCATAGCCATCAGACGGGAGGAAAACATAAAAGGTATCCAAATTGGAAAGGAGGAAGTAAAACTGTCATTATTTGCAGATGACATGATACTGTACACAGAAAACCCTAAAGGCTCCATCAAAGTACTACTAGATTTGATAAACGAATTTGGCAAGGTAGCTGGATACAAAATCAACATCCAGAAATCAATGGCATTCTTATACACCAACAATGAACTTTCAGAGAGAGAAACTAAAAAAACAATACCATTTACCATATTTCTTATTAACTGCATTCTTGGGTATTTAATTTCATTGCTATAATGACAGAGATATTTTGTTTCTTAGTTATATCCCCAAGTATATAAAAAAAGCTAACAATATTTTATGTGTCTGTGTATATACAATATGTGTATATATATATAAACACACACAGATATATATATAGTGCTAGTCTGCCTTTGACTTTTTAAATTTTATTTTTATTGTGGAGAGTATAACAGATGTCCCCCATTTTCCCCCTTTGTCCCTCTCTACCAGGCTCTGGCCCCACCCCAGGCCTTCATTGCATGATTGTCTGTGTCCATGGGCTACGCATACAAGTTCTGAGATCTATCAGTCTGTTCCATGCTTCCATGTCTCTGGACCTATTGTGTTGTGTTCATCAGTTTATTTTGTTCATTAGATTCCACTTAAATATAAGTGAGATTATGTGAGATCTCTGACTAGCTTATTTTGCTTAGTGTAATAATCTCCAGGTCCATCCATGCTGTCCCAAAGGGTAAGAAATCCTTCTTTTTACAGCTGCATAGTATTCAATTATGTAAATGTACCATAGCTTTTTTATCCACTCTTCTACTTGTGGACACTTGGGCTGTTTCCAGATCTTAGCTATTGTAAATAATGCTGCTATGGACATAGGGGTGTATATATTCTTTCTGATTAGTGTTTCACGATTCTTAGGATATATTTCCAGATGTGAGATAATTGGGCCAAACAGCAGTTTCATTATAAATTTTTTGAGGAATCTCCATACCGTTTTCCACAGTGGCTGCACCTATCTGCCTTCCCACTAGCAGTGTACTAGGATTCCCTTTTCCCCACATCCTTGCCAGCACTTACTGATTGTTGTTTTATGAATGGTAGACATTCTTGCAGGTGTTTGCAACTAGCCATTTTAGGAAACTATTCTGTTAGTACTAATAATTTTTGTAGTTGAATACACTGTATTTATTAGAAAAATAGGATCACCTGCATCTAAGAAATATTTGTTGAATGCAAAAAAAAAAAAAAAAAAAA